ATTATTGCTTCACTATTTGTTCCACATGGGAATGATTTTCCCAAGTTTGTCAATAGGATTGTAATGAGGACCTTGATACTAGTATCAAATACAGTACCAAGAGTTTTCCCTACTTGGTTTGCGCCTTTCCTTGACACCTTGCAAGAGCAGTAAGACTCCTCGGCTGGTTTGTGGCTGCAGTGCACGCCCTTTGATGCGCCCTACCGGACTAGCTTGGAACACGTACACAAGTCCGGCTAAATAAAAACGTCAAAATACGCATTGGCATCAATTCTGGTCTCCCGCCTGATAATAACATGAAAATATTTGATAACTTGGCTCAATTCCTGACTGCTTTTGAGAAATTCAACTGTTTTACTTCTTATCTTTCTCTAATGATCAAAGACGAGGATAACCGAGCGAAATTCTAGAATTGGCTCTATGGGGGCTACTCCAGTTCTATCCGCTCTTAGCCGAAGTATAGACCACCGAACTGCGTCTCCGATTCAGCACCTGCATATAAAAGTCTGAGACTTGACGGTTTTCCGATCACGCCAGGTGCCGACTTCCAGCTCGGCGGAGTTGGGTCCCGTCTCCCCAGCCTTTCCGTCCGGTGGATCCCCCGAGTCTGGGTTTGGAAGGACGACAGACTGAAAATATTAAATCATTGCCCCTGTTGAGGGGCCATCAATCGATACCGACCTGCGGTGCTCATCCGCATCTTCTTCCCATACATCTCCATCGGGATGATGGCCATGGTGATTACCAGACTGATAAACTCAATCCACAGGCGATGAACATGTCGGTCAATCCGCTGCGCTGCATCCAAGGCGAGATAGCAAAGGGAACTCCGATGCTGATGGGGTTGCGTAGAAACGTAAGGCCTGTGAAGGCAGGCATCTCCGGTGAACTAGCACCGACCCCCTAATCAGAATAGCCCATGCAGAAGCAAGGAAAAGGGATGGGCTTACATCAGGCATAGCTGTCAATCACCGGCCTCAAAGCTGCATCGCTAATACTTCCCAGTCCGAGTCCCAATAAAGCGCCGCCGATACTCGGCCAGATCCAGAGCTTGTGATCGAGTTCATGGTGGCCTGCCATAGTCGTCTGCACCCTACTCGCAGGATATTCGACATCGGGCTTGCAATCCGCCTTGGGGTTATCCACGGAGACCTGCTGAGCATCCCCAGCAAGTCCCGCGGAAGCGTTCACGCCTTCAATGACCTTAAGAGTACTTTGTCTCCTCGTAGAGAAACATGAACAGAACAGAAACAATCACATTACAGATCCCCAGTGTCGGATAGGATGCCCGCCATCCTTGTTGTATTGCTTGAGTCCCAGCCGCCATGGGAGAAAGGAAGGTCCATAATTCCCATAACCTCAAAGAGATGCGCACGGAACGGGCCATATCGTTCCACTACCGGATTAAATATAAGTAAGATGATATCCCATCAACATCGCGAGGTAGAACAGATTTCTTGATCCTCTTCTCAGTTACCAGCATCTGCTCTGGGATCCAGGAGAGGTCTGCGGATTCTGTCTCGAGCAGTTCATCGTCATAAGCAAGCAGCATCGTTCCCAGAGCTTTTCCGCACAGCCATGCATAAACCATGCCTTCCCCTGAAAATCCAGCAGAGACCCATTCGGCTCCTTGGCCTTTCTCTCTCTGTTCCCTTTCCGTCAAAGACACAGGAAGTTGCCCTACCCATGGGAGGCCGTCTGCGCTGAAGCCCATATTTCCTGTCCACATCTTCTCCACACTGGGACCCGGGACGCTGCCCCAGTTCTCGCGACCAAAAATAGCACTCAACGCACCGGAGAGATGGATATCAGCGTAAAGGCTCAGCTCCGAGTCGGTGGAAACACCAAAATCGCCAACACCACCCAGCTCGCCTTGAGCCAATCCGCCTCCGAACATCATCATGTCGCCTGCCTCGGACGGTGGTAGCTGAGTTAGGTAGTCGAATCCCCGTTCATATTTAAAAATCCAAGAATGCTCGGTTCCCTGATTGCGGAACTTGCTTCCCGGTGTCTGGGCAGACATTTGCCCCCGGACTGGGTAAATACGGCCTCTCAATCCGGGAACAAGGTGGCCAACGTGAGCGTTGGTAGAGTGAACGACATGACGAGCGCGGATAGTGCCCCTGGTCGTTTCAATCGAATATCGCAACGGAGTTGCCTCTTCAGTTGTAACATCACGAATAGATGTCACCGGTGTATTTGATTCAATCCGCAGATCATGGGGGAATTCGGCGCGCAAGTGAGCCAAAATGCCAGTGACAAACCTGTATGGCCAGATAGCACCAGCCGGACCAGCAACGATACCTCGAGCATGAGGGAGGCAAAATTCCTGCACGTTCAGCAAATGCAAACCCAGGTGAGACTACTGGGTAAAAGAAAATCTGTAACCCACTTTTGGAATCTCATTTCCTTCATATGCTCTCCACTCGACGGTTTCGTCAGGTAAACACTCTTTCAATCGTTGCAGACGAGATAAAGCCCCCTTCCAGACTCTCTCATCAAAATACACACATAGAAACTGAACCTTTCTCACTTGAGTCTCCTCCGTCAGTCCATACTCATCAGCGGTCTTCAGGATCTCCTGCAGATGAGCCATTCGAAACTTCACGATCTTTTCGGCTGCTTCAAGGCCATGCGCTGCTTCGAGGGCTGCAAATTCTTCCGCTGTCTCAAGTATATGACCGCCGTTGCGGCCGGTGGCACCACTACAGACATCGCGCGCTTCCAAGATAACAACGCCCGGTCGAGGTTTAGTCTCCTTCCCAGGCTTGCGGGACTTTAGCAGAGTTCTTGCAATTGAGGTTCCAGTCACCCCAGAACCGATGATGACTACTTCTGCCTCAGATGGCAACTCAGTAGATTGCGCCTGGGCAACTTCGGGATGTGGATTTCTGAGCCAGAAAGAAGACGTCGGGTTAGCTGAAGGTAGACCGGGGTCGGAAAAAGCACGGTCGAGCGCCTGTTGCCGATCTTCAATCGGAACTGCGGGGTTGGAGAGTATAGCTCGAGCGAAGGCCATGATGAGAGCTGATATTGGGTCAGTGCTCGGGCGCAACTAGATTGCAGCGGGAACACGGAGTTTATCTGGCTGTCAGGTCGAAGTAGCTGCGGTTCAAGCATGCAACTAGCGAGGGCCATCCTATCGGGCCATTTGATGCTACTGCATGGTTCCAGCTAATCAGAATGGATGGATTTGAGTCTTTGTATGTCTCTGTACTAGAGACGAGCACCCTGGCTGATATCATATATGCTTGATCACCAAGGGTCGACCTGCCTTATATGGCAGTAAGCTTGACCCCACATCGGAGGAGGATCATCGTAACTATCTCGGACAAGATATCGTGCGCCAGAAACAGACGCCAACGGCCGAGTTGCTCTTTTTATATAGTGTCTCTTCATTTGGACCTTACGAAGATTTAAGGTGTGAGATTGCAGCTCATTTTGAGCCGCTTCTTTGAAAGGTTGCCCCACGGCGAGTCAAACTACAATTCACACATCGTCTCCCACAGCATGGACGCCTTTGCTGGTACTCCCAGTGAGGCCTACTGCCCTAATCGCCCGCAAATGCGACGACCAGGCCTGGCATTCCTCCATTATCTTGCATTCATTGCCAAAGAAGAGATTCCAGGTCATCACACCTCGTTTCCAGTATGAAAAGTGTCTCTGGCATAATAGACGAAGATATCGGATCGTAGTATCGCTATCATTCTATGTATATATATATATATATATATATCCACATGTCAGCCATATCCTCAAGCGTACCTCCTCTGCCTCACTTCAACTCAATCCCATTCTTCTGCCAAATCTGCGCATCAAACCCCTCCATCAACTCCCTATACTCCTCCCCAGCACCAACCCACCCCTTAATCCCACCCTGCAACACCAAGCTCTCAATCGACCCATCTTTCTGGTCCTCAAGGTAATCCGCAAACCAATTCGCAGCTCGAGTCCCCCTCCCCGCCGAAGAGCCTATATCAGCATGAGCAATCAAACAAACAATCCACAAGTCAAGCACATCCTGCGCGCCTGCGCATCCTGCAAAGAAGACTAAACCACATACCACAATACCAAATAATGTACTTCACCCCTCCCGCCCGGAGAAGATTATACACCGTCGGCAGAGAATAATACAAGCTCTGAGCGGGCAGATTCAGCGAGCCCTTGATCGTTCCTCCCTGCGTTATGGTCAGTACAATTACAGCTGCAGTGAGAGAGACGGCAAGCAACTCACTTCGTGGTCATTCCGGCGCAGATCAACGAGCACGTAGTCCTTTCCCGCCTGCTTGCCCTCGCGCATCCACTGCAGCATTTCTTCTCGGGAGATGCTGCGGGCGGTGTTGCGGGGTGCTGGGAAGGCGGCGTGCCAGGGTTGTTCTGTGGGTGGTTGGGCAGACATGATGTATGCGTTATCCTCTCGGATGGTGTTTGGATCGGTAGTGATTTACTTTACTGAAAACAAGAGAGGATGACAAAGGATGGAACAGCTCAAAGCAACCTAACTGATTGAGAAGACATGGGATAGACTACGAGGGGCACCAGCCAATCAGCGTGCGCGAGCTACATTCATCTACTTCGCTACTTACTTTTTAAAGACTGCAGATTCTCCGGAATAGGAATCGTGATATGGAAGATATGCGAATATGGCAAAGATGTCTTGTCATTATGAATAAGAGCTACGAGACTGTCCCGACTGATAAATTACGATTCAATATCCGTGGTGCATACCGGACAAAACCGTACTCAAAGATCGTCGAGGGCAAAACCTCATTCTCGTCTCATACAGACATGCATATGAAAATGCAGGCTGCATCCAGCTCAAGATCAACCGAGTGAAGCAGAAGACCGAGCGAGGCAAGAGACATCCGCCTACAGATTGCATGTATGCTTCGGAACCGGAAGACTGATATAAAATCTGTACATATGCTTATCTAGCATGATCGTCATTGGGTATCTATAGACCCTCGCACACAGACGCCGGAATTGCCATCAGAGAATTATTAGTACGCCACCCTCGTCCGCATATCCTAGGTATATAGTTAGTGAAAACCATCCAGAAATAACGTCGGAAATGGGTTGACTTACCGAGATCTTCCGCTCAATCTCCCTGACGGAACGATCCAGTTCCGCTGCAATCATCATCTTCGTGTCATTAGGCAATAAGAAATACATTTCGCACAGATCTCCATCAATCACACCCTTGACTGGTGCATAATAGCTGCGATAGATGAGATGATCCCGTCCAGCGAGGGGTGGGCACTGTGATGCTAGTTGCATCTCTAGATTCTGGAAAAAGTCCACATCCTCGCGGCTCACAAAAGGCACAAGCATGCCAATTGTACCCTGAAACCCGGTCCACACAAGGATGTCTCGTCCACCTGCCACTAGTTGTGTCTTGTGTAAGCTGGTCGGGATATCCTGTGTGTAGGTGTGGATCATCAGATCCAGGCGATTCGGCGTGCCATGCAGATAACCGCGCTCATGAATCAGATGCGCTCCCGATCCGTCCTCGTCCGCCTCCTCTGAGACCTTCTTAGGACAGCGGACGAGCCACAGGTTACCGAATTTGTCACCACCGGCAACAGTCTCGTAGTCTACCATGGTGGTGCTCGTCGTCCAGCGAGAGACGGAATCATCAACGAAAGGAATCAAAACGTTCTCCTGGTACTTGTATACGACATACGTCACGCTTTCGCGAACGTCGCTGACGATAATCCGGCTACCTTGTGTCTGAAGGCCAACAATTGTCTTTGACACAACAGGAGCCTGACATTTTCGGAGCAGTTGTTTCATTCCCAGGTCGTAGATCCGAAGGGTAGAGCCGATGCCGGCAAGAAGACGTCCCTGGAATCCGAGGAGAGCAAGAGGCGGCTCTTCAACCTTCGTCTTGTGAATGAACTCCAGCTCCTTCCCATCTTCTTGGAACCTGTAAATGTGGATGAAACCCCCGGCTGATGAGGGAGGGTTGACAATCATATCCTTGGCCGTTCCCACCACCAGGAAAGTTTCATCGTCCTGGCTAGAGAAGGGTACGGCTGCCATGCTGACGGCGGCCTCGTTCTCCTCGAGTTCAATCGTCGAAATCACCGCTTTGGCATCTAGGGGATCGACGATTTGAATGCAAGACGCCCAGTGACCTGTAGCCCGTGGATAGCCGAACTCTTCGGGCGGAAGAACATTTGTCTCGCCATTGCGCGCCTTGGAATCTTCAATCAATCTGGCTCTCGTAGCCGGCGATAGGACATTGTTGTCCGACTCAATAACATAGAACAATGGCTGTTCTGGATGCTTAAGCAGACGACGGGGCGTGTTTGAAAGAGGAATGGACTCCTGCAGTATGTTGTTGTCCAACTTCTCGATAGAGAAAATCCTGTCATCGCGTGAACGAGTTAGTCAAATGTATCGAGTGAGACATTGTTTGACAATTGAAATGTGTATGGTGCAGTGATCTCAGTAGGAACAATTGGAGATATAAACTTTAAAAGAGATGATCCACATGAACTTTCGGATTAAAGTTCTCATCATACGATCACAAAGGAGAAGTGAACAAGCGAGTAAAAAGGGAAGAACATACCGAAGATTTTGTGCCTGGATACCAACCATGCCTTCAACACACTGCTCACTGGAGAAATTCCAGCCCCATTCCAAGCCCACGTAATCCAACGGGGTGAGCATGAAACCTTTTGTCTGGGTGTCGGAGTAGCCCAGCCATGGTCGGGAGCTGAGCGCGAGAACGGCCGTTTGTCCCTTGACCGAAACACGGAATAGCTTCACTGGCTTGGCTCCCAGGAAACGGGTACGAGTATCGGAAAGTTCGCCAGTCACCTCGTCGAGAACAGTACGGAGGTAGACACCGGAGTAGAGGCCAATGTGCAAGTACAGTGTCGTACCTCCCGAGCTTGAATCGGCCATTGACATGATGTTCAACGCAGATGGAGCCGAGGTAAGAGCCTGGACTGACTTATTCTCCAAGGTCGAGTCGGGATCCAAGCTCAGAATGCGGACAGTAGAGTCGTCACATCCGACAGCCAAGAAAGAACTTCTCACACGCCCTTCAGGAACCTCGCCTAAACTGAGGCATGTTACTGTACCAGACATCTGGCGTCTCTCATCGTATTCAGCGAGCGTTCCATCGGCATCCATCTCGAAGTACACGATTTCACCTGAACTGAGGGCAACCGCTACCTGACGCTCATTTGTCGCAGCGGCGACAATCGAACGATGTTGAGGAGCGGGCCACTCATTGACACGCCGGTCTGCAAGGATATGGCGAATGCCCCTCGGGTGAACCTGAATCAGCGAATCCTCACCGAGCTGCTGAACAGCCAAAGTAGGTGCAGTGGAAAGAAAGCCGGTGTCGGTAACTTCTTCAACTGTCTCACCGATGCTGAGAACCAAAGTACCGTTTGCGAAAGAAAGAATAATGTAAGCGTCAAACTCATCGGCACGAGTCAACTTGGTCGTCCACACAGCAGAAGGCACACTGGGGAGCTCCGATTCCACGATCTCTGAGACTTCCAGACCGTGCTTGAGGGTCCTGAAGCTGCTCCGGGCGCCAGTGCCGGACACAGTGTAAATTTGAGGAGCGTCGTCCTCGTTCAGATTCACAATCTTACTATCGATCAAAGGGTTGAGAGAGTTGAGTGTCTCAACGAGGTTGAGGTTCTCCGCTCCTCTCGGTCGGAAAAAGACCGGCTCGTAGGGAAGAGAGGGATCCGCAGGAAAGTTTTCGCTGCTAAATTCAGTCTCTTCGTCGTCGTCTCCCAGCTTCTCGAATTGGTAGAAGTGATGGTTTCCTGCTTCACTGGCAACGTAAAGGAAACCACTCTTCAGAATCAACAAATTGGACGCGACAGGAACTGTATCGAAGTATTTGATCTTCAACCTTCTAACCTCGCCAGTCAGTTGTCCGTTGTCATCCTCCACCATATCGATGGTAATCTTGAACAGGTCGCCATCTTCAGTCTGAAGAAGGAAGAAGAAAGCACCCCTCATCTTGTGCATGACGCCGGCGACGATAGAGCGCTTGCGGTCGGGGTTTTCTGTTGCACCAATGCGTCGAGGAATCGGGACTCTGAATGCATCTTGGTTTGAGTGCCGGTAGGTGATGTTATCCTCTGCACATACCAGGACACCACTGGGACCATCGGCACCTCCCGGCACCTGGAACAGCATAGATGCTGTGCGGTCAACAGGATCGGCCCACTTGCGAACAACATGATTCAGACCGAGATCAAGTTCATAGTACACAAGCAGTTTTTCGGACTCTTCGTACGCTCGACCAGTTGGATCCTGATCCGCCTCCGAATAGTCAACCTCAAGGGCCGCGAAGATGGGATTCTCGTAGCCAACGTCCAGAGCCGTCATCGCAAAGACCACTGTCTGCGGCTTGTGGGCCTCCAGAGGGGACGAAATCGTGAGCTCGGCCTGCGAGTTCCGATTCAGAACGTAAACGAGCTTATTCTTCTCCACAGAGGCAATCAAACAAGCTCTACCTTTTGGATCGACCGCAAGGTATTGACCAGGGACGACACGACGGACGCCGGACTTGCCGAAGGTCTCAAGATGGATACGGTTGAACCGATTCTGGGAGGGAACGTATTCAATGATCGTGATACGTCCCGAGTCCGAACCAATGATTATATAATCTATAAGCAATATTCTTTCAGCACAATTCAGAATCAACATCCAGTGTCAGCAATGCCGACCGGAGCACGTCCTGCTTCCATTAAGGTCGGCTCGGCAGATAAGGATCGTGCTGCCCGGGAAGCTTGACGAATCACTAAGTTGGTCTTGCGATTGGGGCAAGGAGGCTGAATGTCAAACATACCTTTACTGCTTCCAGCCAACCGAAAGGCTGCCAGAGAACGGATGATACCGAAGACATCCTGGGAATAGATTGGTGTAATCTTGCCCTGAGTCGGATCGGGACGATGAATCGTGAGCTTCGACCCTGACGCCGTCACGATCTGTTGCTCTTTAGTCCCTGCGAACTGGCCCAGAATAGCTTGTGTGATCGCAGTCGGAGGCTGGATCGTCAGGGAATACATGAACATGTTCGAAGTGGTAGCCATGGTGAACGATTAGGCTTTTCACAGCCCGAACCGAGGGTTGCGGTTTGCTAGTGTTTTACGACGCAAATGCAGTCAATTTGACTTTAGAATAGAATCAATCCCATTGCTGCAGCTTGAGAGATTGGAAAAGAGGACTCTCAGTTTCCGAGTGTCCTCAGAGAAGGGATTGGCAGCGGGGTTGGAAATACTTGCACGAGAAGAGCGAGTATTGCCCAACTGCGTCCTGAGGAGCCAGAAGTGAAAATTCAGCTCTGAAGGGAGAAAGAAGCTCCAGTCACGTGGGTTTGTACTGTTTGTCCCCTCATGCACGTGACATACTGTCAAGATCCACGGCTGTTATGAGCTCAGTGCATCAATTCACCGGCCAAAAGAAAGGCGGTCGATGGGATTCTGCCTGCTTCCACCTTACCAACCACTTACAGCCTAGAGGGGTCTCTCCTCATATCCAGCTTACAGATAGGCAGTCGGCTCTTCTGTCTCTCAATTTCATCATTTTACCTGTGTTGTGTCATATTCTCAGTCACATTTTGAATTCTACGAACTATCCCTTTTCCTTGAGTGTGATCCCTCTCTGACAGCGCATCAGCTCTACCCTCCTCATACTCCTTCCCGCACCTCCATTACGTATCATGGCCGACGATACCGCCACGACTGAAGATTCGCCCATCACCTTCACAATCAAATCCTCCAATGACGCCAAATATACCCTCACTCTTCCCCTTTCTACTCAAGTCTCGGAGTTGAAACAGAAGCTCTCATCTTCCGAATATGCCGATACTCCAGCTGAACGTCAGCGTTTGATCTACTCTGGGAGAGTGCTCAAGGATAATGAGACTCTAGCCACTTACAAGATCAAAGATGGCCACACTGTCCATTTGGTAAAGAGCGCCGCTAGCAATCAGAGACAGGGTGGGTCTACGCAGAGTGCGGCTACATCTGCACCTGCTGGTACCTCGGCTGCTCCTGCAGCTGGTGCTGTGCCCACCAATCTCGCTGCCGGCACTGGGAACAACCCGCTCGCGGGCTTGACGGGTGCAAGATATGCTGGATTTGCACAGCTTCCAGGCGCTGGCATGTTTGGTCCAGATGGCGGGGTAAGTGTTTTTTACTGTCGATTGAGGAGTTTAGCTTGCTTTTTGAGTTCAACGGCTGACTGATGCGTCTAGATGGGACCTCCTCCCGACGCCGAAAGCATGCTCAACATGCTTGAAAACCCCCAGTTTCAATCCACCATCAATGAAGCCCTGCAGAACCCAGCCATGATCGACATGATGATTCAACAAAATCCCATGTTGCGTGATATGGGTCCTGGAGTGCGGCAAATGATGCAGAGCCCTGAATTTCGCCGCATGCTCACCGATCCCAATTCTATCCGTCATATGTTGCAGATGCAGAGGGCGTTTGGTGGCGGCGGATTGGGCGGAGGTAGTGCGTTCCCAGCCCCTGGGGTGACCAACACGACGCCCGAGGAGAACAGAAACAACCAGGACAACAACAATGCAAATGCGGCTGCAGCGGGCGTGCCTCCTTTCAACCCTTTTGCTCCTCCTGCGCTAGGAGCAGGCAATCCTTTCGCTGCTCTTTTCGGTGGAGCCCCACCAGCTTTCGGCGCCAACCCGTCAAGTACCTCGACAGCTGCGGGTGGCGAACAATCCCAAGGCACGCAAGGAGCAACTGGCAGCGCCACTGCTGGCAGCACAACTACCGGTGAGGGCCAGAACCAGCAGAATCTTCAGAATCCATTCAGTTTCTTGATGAACCCCGCCATGTTTGGAGCTACAGGTTCTCAGGCTGGGCAGGCCGGCTTAAATCCTTTCAATCCGCAGCAGAACCCCTTCCTTCGAGATCCCGCGCTGTTGTCGCAGATGATGCAGGCCATGGGAGCCCAAGGAGGTGCGACCGGTGCTAATCCTTTGGCGGCTCTTCTTGGAGGCGCCGGCCTTGGAAGCCCTCCGCCGCAGGACAATCGGCCGCCTGAGGAAAGATACGCGGACCAGCTTCGACAACTCAACGATATGGGCTTCTTTGAGTTCGAGAGAAATGTGGAAGCTCTGCGACGCTCAGGGGGCAGTGTTCAGGGTGCTGTAGAATATCTCCTGAGTCATCCTTCGTAATCTCTGGGACTTCTTGCGGTGCGCGATTCTCTCCTCTTTCCCTTCCGTCTGGTCGGTTCGCGGTGCATCGGCTGGATGTCTTTCATTTGCCAGCACAATCCAATCCTGTTGGCGGCTTCATCTTCTGTCTTCTTATTCTCGACACATCATCTTACGATTACCCCTCGGCGTATTAGTTTCCTCAAATGTGAAATAGCCTGATAGGCGACCGTTTGGACAGCTTAGTGTAACCTTTCAACTTCAGTTCCCAGATAAGACGGTAGACACGATAGACTTTCTGATTTGTTTGTGTATGGTCATAATCTCTCATGAAGCCGATTATTCAGCATTCTCCACCGTTATTTCTTTATGAGTAGAAGTAGAAGTAGATATCCGCTTGAAGAATGGAAGCTAAGCCTATTATGGATGGCCCGATTGTCCCTTACAATAGGCTCTTCTACTCCCATGTTCTGGCCTTATCTGTAATTAGCTTGTTGTTATTGTTACTTTTTCTCCAACAATCGAGTCATCCCTTCCCCGTCCTCATGCTTGATCTTTCTTGCGCAAGGCGTTATCGGCCATTCCATTCGTTATAATAAGCTGGACTGTGAAATCGCGCAATTCCCGTCGCTACTCAGTGGCATTCCGACCACTCGGTGCCACGTCTCTCACATTGACAATCACCTTCTTCTTCCCATCGTCCATATTTTGTTTTCCGTTGCGATACGCCCATCAGAGACTGCACATATTGAGACAGAATATATACTGTTTGGTCTACCCTTCGACAAAGCTTGTTGCTGGATTCGGAGTGCGTCAAGGGCGGCCGGCTTGCCCACCTGCGCTTTTCAACCTTCGGACTTGTCCCGCACGACCGATATCATTCAATCGATTACCCCCGCGTGTTTGTGTGATATCTAGCTGTCGATTTCGCCTTGGAGAGGGTCGTCTTGCCGCTGCGTAGAGGATGAAACTTCGATCGGTGTTTTGTCCGCGCCAATGGACAATATGGCTCTTATTCGTCTCCCACGCTTGCGCGTTCTACATACCAGGTAGGCTTGCCATTGACCGAAGTTACTTTGTACTTGAGCTTATGCCCCGTCTTACTCCGTAGGTTACTCTGTCACGCGCTATAATGACGACGAACCCATTCCCCTCCTCGTCAACAAGATCTTTTCGGACCACACGCAGCTACAGTATGCCTACTTTGATCTTCCGTTCGTGTGTCCGCCAAGTGGGCAGAGTCATGGTGGCTCGCCGTTCGGCTCAGGAAAGAGTGTCTCGCTCAACTTGGGAGAGATCCTCCGCGGCGATCGCATCATGACCTCCGATTTCGAGCTTCATATGGGCAGGAATGTGGAATGCCAGAAACTCTGTACAGTGGAGGTGGGACGGAAAGACGTAAAATGGGGCCGGCAACTCATCAGGGAAGGATATGTGGCGGAATGGATTGCGGACAATTTGCCTGGAGCAACGAGTTTCGTCACCGTCGACCGTAGCCGCAAATACTATGCCACCGGATTCAAGATTGGGGACCTTGACTTTTCACCTGGCACCGGCAAACCACGTTTCTTCATCAACAATCATTTCAATATAGTCATTCGCTGGCGGAGTGCTCCAGAAGGAGGCAAGGTGGTGGTCGGTTTTGAGATCTATCCGAAGAGCATCAAGGCCAGCGATTACGTGGAAGACGGATGTCCGAGACAAGTGCATGGCAAACACGAGGGTCTGGAACTATATATTCCTCCTAATCTGTCGAGGCTGAAGGAGATGTATCCTGAATCGTCGTATCTTCCCAAGGAGGATGATGAGATAGACGATGGTGCCAAGCTGAAGATCCCATACAGTTACTCGGTCTACTTCAAAGAAGAGCCTGGTATCGAGTGGTCGAACCGCTGGGACCTTTACTTCAGTAATCAAGGCGAAAGTTCGATGACACATTGGCTGGCGGTTCTGAACTCTTTGATCATATCGGGTGTCCTCGGTGTGGCGGTCTATGTGATCTGGGGTCGGACGGTGCAAGGAGATATCAAGGGTCGCGGAGACGGCGCTATGGAGGACGGTAAGATCAAATTACGTTCCAAGTCAACCGAGAAGAAAGGAGAAAGCCTCCTAGATCAGGGCATGGATGTTGAGCGGGATGCCGACGGATCGTCTGATGACGAAGCTCTGGAAGATGTGAGCGGATGGAAGCTCCTCCATGGAGACGTTTTCCGGGTGCCCGAGTATAGCGGTCTGCTAGCGCCATTGGTGGGCTCAGGCATGCAGCTCTTCTTCATGGTCTCTGGGCTGCTGATCCTCAGTTGCTTGGGTGTCTTAAATCCCAGTTTCCGAGGTGGATTTGTTAGTGTGGGCATGGGTTTGTTCGTCTTTGCAGGCCTTTTCTCCGGATATTTCTCTGGGAGATTGTACAAGACTTTCGGAGGTGTTCATTGGCGAAAGAATACGCTCATCGTAAGTTGATCTGCTGTTTCCTTTGACTCTGACTGACAATCGCATAGACTGCTCTTTTCTTCCCCGGGCTGATCTTTTGCCTCATCTTCATACTGAATCTATTTGTCTGGGCACAAGCATCGAGTACTGCCATTCCTTTCGGCACATTGGTCGGCATGCTTGCGTTATGGCTTCTCATCCAAGTTCCTCTGGTATACCTTGGCAGCTGGTACGGCTTCGTGCGGGCCAGACCGTGGGAACATCCGACCAAGACGAACTCGATCGCGCGCCAGATTCCGCCTCAGCCGTGGTATTTGCATAGCATTCAGGGAGCTGCCCTCACCGGGTTACCTCCATTTGCTGTCTTGTTCATCGAACTACTCTTTGTGTTCAAGAATTTGTGGCAGGACAAGAGTGGCTATTACTATGTTTTCGGCTTCCTGAGCGCTGTATCGACGATTGTGATTATCACGGTGAGCGAAGTGACCATCATCGCAACGCACAGCCAGCTGTGTGCTGAGGTAAGTGTCCGCCTTGATTTTTGTGTATTGAAGACTAACCACAGTAGAATTATCACTGGTGGTGGCAGAGCTTCCTGACAGGTGGAAGCAGTGCCTTCTGGGTGTTTGCTTACTGCGTTTGGTACTACTTCTTCCATCTACACATCACAGGCTTTGTATCGAGCCTGCTCTTCTTCAGCTACAGTTTCCTGGCTTGTGCGGTGTACGGCTTGCTGACAGGGACCGTTGGCTTCCTGACGGCATATGCCTTCATCCGGCGTATCTACAGGTAGGATGGCCCTTTGAGTATATTAGAATGGGCTGACCGCGATACAGTTCGATCAAGATCGATTGATTTGAACACCATACAGTCCATAGTCAGCCTGCAGGCGCTTCCCTGCAGCAATAAGCTTGTAACATGTTCACCGCGCCCTTGATTTCTCTGAACCGCATTGAATAAGTATATTTTGATTAGCGTTCAACTGCATGCAGTCCATTATCAGCTCTTAGTACATGAACAAATATAGCGCATTCTTCACTGTTGTAGTGTTGTCTCAAGTCGGCGACTGGTTTGCAGTTTTCCGTTGGTGCTCGTCCACTATAATGAGAAGTAGAGATGTAAGGTATGTAGTCCAATGAGAGCTAAACTGAGGTCCTCATCGGTCTTGCTGGTTAGCGATCCCTCAATTGAGTCTCGGTTCAGCTCGCAAGCGGTTCCTCGACATGGACATCAGTCATCGGACCATCTCCAGCGGTACAACACTAATCTAATCCATATCCCTTGCATTGCAGCCCAGCATGACAAGTCCTATTCAATACAGTCCAGGTTCCTCACTGAGTAGTCCTATGCCAAGACCTCAAGGTTGTACAGCAAGCATTCCGCTCATCTTGGCAGAATGCAAGTACTGCCCTCAACGCCAAGCTTGATGCTGTCTTGAAGGAGTAGTAGCGTAATAGATTCGAGAACAAGCTACAAGGACATGAAACATTCTCAGCGTCTTACGTACATCGCAGTCGCCATCGACCCCGCTGGGAAAGGTGTCGCTCTACCCCGTAGTCAGATCGCCGATGCAAACGCAACGCAAACGGACTACGTCAGCGTGGATTGTCGATTGCGTGCTCGGGTGAAAAGATTGCTCATATGGACTACTCGCCATTGTCCAAGGCCCAAGGGATGACGGGCACGTTTACTCCTGCTGAGAGTGCATTCGCTGAGTTCCGGGGCGAGTATTATTTGGTATTTGCTACCTCAAAGAGTGGGCTGCGTGTTCTGGTCTATGTCATAACTACCCCATACTCCGTACTATGGGTAGTACTAGCTCTAGAAAAGAATTTGTACTATTGTCCCCGCAAAAGCGGATCGGAGTCCGAAAAAAAGAAAAGAAACCCGTTCCGTAGATCTTCCAGAAACCTTGCATATCCGTGAAACAACGATCTTCAGGAGAAGCCGCGGAGAGGCGCGTGTGATAGGAGGAAGGGGACGATGATGCCATTGTTGCTCCGGATGGGGAATTCTGTCGGGCCCCCGGAGTGGGCGATGGTACGTAAGGCTGCCTGGATGTACTGTGAGATTTGACTTTCGCCATGGAAGCTAGGTAGAATGCGGTATGGGATGGAAGCCTGCGTGTATTGGTTTTTGATTTCCACTGTCTACCTGTCTAGTTGTCTTGTCAGTCGATCATTGATGTTCTTTGGAGACCTTGGAGACCTTGGTAGAAGTGTATCAATTGTGTATCAGTGTAATATACTTGTAACAAGTTATCAGCTGACCTCCGAATTGAGAAGTGCTGCTCGTGTGATAAGCAAGTGGGTCCATCGGGATCCGGCAATCACTACATCACACGACCAATCAAATATTGCTTCTGGTTTAGCCTAGAAACACAAATAGCCGCTATACTCTTCTAGGTTAATTCCCTTAAGAGGCGGGTTCTAGCTCAGAAGATGGTTTGCTCTCGAGTAGTAGATAGTCCACTCAAAAACAGACCCTCAATGGGAGCTTTCGGAAGTGACTATGAGAGTCAGAAATGAGTTATAAACCAGGATATCAGGTATGTAAGACGCAAGACTATCCCAACCTGAGAAACATTCTTGGGAATAAATGTGATAGTGCTTGCGTGGCAAATCATACAAGACCTAGTTAGTCATCTTATCACTGGTAGTGACGATCATTGGTTTTCCGGAATCCTTTTCTATGCTGGGTAATCGAGTCCATTCACTCGAGACTCACGCGACCTATATGACTCCCATGAACAACGCATCGATTCCTTTGAGAAGAGATTGATCCATCACAAGAGACCTTGTTTTGCGAGGAATGAACATGGAGAAAGGACATAGAGCATCATAGAGCCCAAATGATCTTCAGGAGACTCCTTGAGACGCCAGAGGACTGGAAGCCCGGAATCTGACACTGGAACCAACCCCCGAACGCTCGAGTCAGAAGCAGCGGATATCACACCATCGTCCCCGCCGATGGTTCTATTGCTGCGGACTGGCGGTGAAATTCCTCCAGCGCTCAGCCTTGACAAATTCAGGTTTCATCTTGCGACAGGGTTTGTGAATGATGTATCTCTATCTACTCTCCTACCCTCCATCTTGTATCCTAGGGGCTATTATCTCTGTAGATGTTCTAGTGGCAGTTAGTGTGCTGTAATGCTGTGTATTAATTACTAGTGCGGAGAAGACTCCAGCTAGTCCGGCAACTTTATCAGAATTACTATAAACGCTGCTCTGGGATTGGACACCAAGTGACACAATTCACGGGGATATGCAATCTAACAATTAACGGGGAAGTCTCCTACTGCTTAATCCCTTCATTTGCTTTTTTTTCCTGCCTTTTCGGGGCTCTTTATTTTTTTCCTTTTTTCCCTTTTGCTTTTTTTTCTTCCATTTGTTTCTCTCATCCGCTTCCTCTTCACTCCATATCTTTGTCAATAATAAATTGTTTGATTGTTGATTGTCATCTTTTGCTCCACTTGCTCGCCGGACCATTGGACTCGTTTCCCTATATCTATCCATCTTTCCCGTTCCTTTTCCTCTTCGTCTTTGTCCTCTCCTCTTCCCTCCATCCCCGGGTTTTCTCCCCTCTTCCCACTCGCTTTCTGTCCTGGTAATTCCTGTGTGTATCTTGACTCTAGAATAATTTATCCTTCAAGTCTCGTCTAGTCTGTCTAGACTACTATCCTTCTTAGTGATTGTGACGACGACGACGACACCACCACCATGGCGGCCAAGAAGCCCAACATCCTCTACATTATGGCGGACCAGATGGCCGCTCCCCTTCTGGCCTTCCATGACAAAAACTCTCCTATTAAGACTCCCAATTTGGACCGCCTGGCTCGGGAAGGCGTGGTGTTTGATTCCGCATACTGCAACTCCCCGCTGTGTGCTCCCTCGCGCTTCGTCATGGTGACCGGTCAGCTCCCGTCCAAGATTGGCGCCTACGACAACGCGTCAGACTTGCCCGCCGACATCCCCACATATGCCCATTATTTGCGCCGCGAAGGCTATCATACCGCTCTGGCTGGTAAAATGCACTTTTGTGGACCGGATCAGCTGCATGGCTATGAGCAGCGACTGACCAGCGACATCTACCCCGGGGACTATGGTTGGTCCGTCAATTGGGACGAGCCGGTGAGTTGCTTTGTGTCGTGCTCGTAGTCCACAATACTAATTGAAACAGGATATCCGTCCGGACTGGTATCACAATATGTCGTCTGTGATGGAGGCAGGTCCCGTTGTGCGCACCAACCAGCTCGACTATGACGAAGAAGTCATCTACAAGTCTACGCAGTATCTGTATGATCATGTCCGCCACCGTACCGACCAGCCCTTCTGCTTGACGGTCTCCATGACCCATCCGCATGACCCTTACGCGATGACCAAGGAATTCTGGGATATGTACGAAGATGTCGACATTCCGTTGCCCAAGACTCCTGCGATTCCCCAGGACCAGCAAGATCCCCACTCGCAGCGGGTCCTCAAGTGCATTGACTTGTGGGGCAAGGAGATACCCGAGGAGCGCATCAAGGCTGCGCGCCGCGCCTACTACGCCGCCTGCACCTACGTCGACACCAATGTCGGGAAGCTGCTGAAGGTGTTGGAGAACTGCGGTCTGCGCGACGACACCATTGTCGTCTTCACCGGAGATCATGGCGACATGCTGGGTGAGCGAGGCTTGTGGTACAAGATGGTCTGGTACGAGAACTCGGCGCGTGTGCCCATGATCGTGCATGCCCCCAACCGCTTTGCTCCTAAGCGCGTTTCGGAGAACGTCTCGACTATGGATCTGTTGCCTACCTTTGCCGCAATGGGTGGAGCCCCGCTGGTCAAGGAGCTTCCGCTGGACGGTGTGTCGCTGATGCCGTATCTCACTGGCGAGGAGGGTGTCAAGACCGACACGGTGCTGGGCGAGTACATGGCCGAGGGCACTCAGTCTCCCACGGTGATGATCCGTCGCGGCCGGTGGAAGTTTGTCTATTCGCTGATCGATCCCCCCATGCTTTATGACCTCGAGAACGACCCCGAGGAACGGGTGAACTTGGTCGCGGGACTTGCGGAACCGTCGCAATCCTTTGCCGTCAAGAGTGCCGTGCCTGATCAGGTCAAGTCTACAGCGCTACCTACCCCGGCTGACACACCGTCGGGGACTCCTCGTGTGTCGCCAGTACCCCAGCGCGCCAATTCCTCCTTCCCGTTCCCGACTCCTCCACGCACCCCCAGTCCCGCCAAGTTTCCCGCTGGGCTGCCTGCGACCACGGATCCGGCCACGCTGTTGGCGCACTTCACCGAGGAAGTGCACGCCCGCTGGGATCTGAAGGCGATCCGGGAGGACGTGCTGCGGTCGCAGCGCCGGCGTCGTCTGGTGTACTCGGCTCTGATCCAGGGCACTCCAACCGTCTGGGACTATGAGCCTCGCATTGACCCTAGCACGCAGTATGTGCGTAACCAGGGCAAGGGGGCTTTGGACGATGTCGAGTTTATCTCGCGCTGGCCTCGTGTGTTGCAGCAGGCCGCCAACGCCATGGGTGCCAGGGTCTAACCTAGTATATGACGGCGACACGTCCGACTCGTGCTTGATTGAAAAAGAATGACTCCTTGCAAGATTTATCTCGGCATCTGATTTCGGTTTATTGTTGCTGCTTGTTCTAGCGCGCGTATACCCGGGCTTGTTGCATTCATGGTTTGCTAGCGATTTGAATGCGTCGGGTTGATCGTTTGTTTCATTTGATCCACAATTTGGTACATAGGATCATCAAGTGTATTTAGAGTAATCAGACTGTAGTATAGATCAATGAATCTACATCCATACAATGCTACCCCAGAATGTTACATCGCCGACTTCACCATAGGCACCATCTATACATGAGTATTTATAGGTTAACTGACTAGAAAGAGAAGCTGTGGACTAACTACAGAGTAAGTCTGGGTGATAATAGAAAGGATATAGTTATGCATGGCTTTTGCACTACGTTTAAATATTTCTTATAAGATAAGCGTAGTATATATACTATGATTATAAGAAGTCGAAGTAGAGTATTCAGGATAAAGAACAAATTAGAGTTGCATTCGGTTCCGGACATTATTTCTTACTTTCTAGAACCAAAGGAATCAGGCTATCACCTCCGCAACCAACCTCTCCGGGGTCGTGGTCAAGTAATCTAGCATGCCCAAAAAGACCTCGAAAACGCGATCCGCAACCTCCTGCCCAAAGACAGCGCTGGTCAGCGCCACGCCTAGCACCGACCGCCCCGTCGCTTCCTCTGCATCGGGACTCCCAGTACAAGTGAGCATGGGATACGTCTGCAGGAGCTTGAAATCAATATGCTGACTCCGACACTCCACCCCGTCCACCGCGCGGACCTCGTCCCAGAACCGGTCGCCGTGCAGGAAGTGGACGCCCGTTCCGATCTCCGTGCCGGCCGGCCACGCGGTGCTCCGGGCGACGAGCTCATCAAAGTCGACCGCGTCGTGTGCCATGGTGCGGATATGCTGCGCTTGCACGTTGCGCAGGAGCTCGCTGCAGGTCCAGGTGGGTTGCAGGGTGACTCGCACGGGGATGTAGTTGATGCAGGGGCCTACGATGCGATCGATGTCCGGCACGGGCAGGTTGCGCCCGCTGACGAGCTGGGCGAAGACGAGATCGTGTATGTGCGTTTGCGCGGCGAGGACAAGCGCCCATGCGGCTTTGAGGTATGTGGCCATTGTGAGGCCCGGCTGGAGACGGGGTCTGGGGATCTCGCGCGCGCTGGTGACGAGGAGGTCCATGCGGTGGCGATGGGTCGTAGTGGAGATATGGCCCCCTCCTGGTGCGAGGCAGGTCATGGTCGAGCCGTGGAGCAGGTCTCGCCAAAACTGGAATGTTGAGGCGTGCTGGTGATGTCTGCGGGCGTTGAGAAAGTCAGCGTAGCCGGCCGTGGTGAGCGGGGGGTGGGTGGGATCTTCGTAGGCGGCGGTGATGTAGTTGTGGATGCGCCGGATGGAGACTCCATCGTACTGGGCATGGTGGAGTCTCAAAATCATGGCAAGGTGGTTGTCGTCTTGTTTTCGGGAGATGATGAAGAACAGTCGAGTCACGGGATGGCCCGGTGGGATGGGGGTCTGGATATCTTGTTGGCAAAGGGATTGCACCGTCGATTGCAGGTCTTTGTCTGTCTGGATTTCAACGGTGGGCAGACTCATCTTGTGCAGGATTAGTTGAACCGTGGTATTCTCAAAGGGGACGAAGACGGTCCGAAGGATGTCGTAGTGGCGGATCGCGGCGACAACGACACTCTGCAATCGGGCCAGATCCACCGGGTGTGAAAAGGTCAAGACCATGTGCGCCAAGTGCTGACAGTCAAGAGACCCGCGTTGGTAAAAGGTGGTGGGCAGAACATCCGCGACCTGGCTGCGATCGATCTTCCACTTGGTGCAGAGGACATCGACTGAGCCCAGGAGCGGGTTGGGGGTTGATTGCGGGCTCGACGAGGTCGCCGACGAGACTGCTGCTGCTCTGGCGCCCTCTTCAAGCACAGCCGCCAACTGAGAGAGTCGCGGATGTTGGAAGATGGTGAGAGCGAGAAGCTTCAGGCCCTCCTTTGCGGCCAAGGACGCCAATGTCATGGCCCTGAGTGAGTCGAGTCCAGTGTGGAACAGGTCTTCATCTAATGCGATGCTGCCCGGCGACCTTTTCAACACCCGCGCTACGAGGTCCTGCAGTTGAGCCTCCAGGGGTGTCGAAGGCGTACGCCGTGTAGCATTGGTGCCGCTGTAGACGTCGAGCTCACTCTGCGACAGGGAAGCGGCCAGCTCAATCAGCCTTTTGCGGTCTGTCTTGCCTGTAGGCGATTTAGGCACCCAGGCCAAGGGCAAGAAGGCTGTAGGAACCATGTACGATGGCAGGGCTTTGCGGAGAGTGGATATGGCTGCCCGGACAGACTCTTGAAACTGCTGGGAGTGCGGTTGCCGCAGCAAACTCCCGGTACCAGCTGCTGGTGATTCGTGGTCATCCGCCATCGGGTGCACAAATGCCACCAGGAATGCATCGTCTGCCTGCCCTACAAGCTCCACCGTCACGTCCCTGTTCAAGAAGGCAATGCCGGCCTGAGCCTCGACCTCACCTAGTTCAAGCCGCTGCCCACGGATCTTGATCTGATTGTCCTTGCGTCCAACAAAGATGAGACGCCCGTCCGGGTTAAAACGAGCAAGATCACCGGTCTTGTACAACCGCGTGGAAGACTGACCGTGTCGTGAACCCCGCAGCCACAGCGGAGGATCGATAAACGCGGCGGCAGTCTGTTGGGCATTGTTCACATACCCACGACCAACAGTCGGTCCTTCCAAAAGTAGTTCGCCTACAACGCCCTCGGGGACTAAGCGGGCGTGGTTATCCCGGTCCACAATCCATGCCACATTAGCTGGGGGTCGTCCAATATCTCGAGGATTGCTGGACGCGGTCAGGGGTTCGGAAACTGTACTGATGGGACAGCACTCGGCCGGGCCATAGGCTGAAATGAGCCGGACTTTATCGTGCCAGATGGCCAGGTCCGATGGTGACAAGGGCTCTCCCGCAAGGACCAGAGTCTGCAGGTGCTTGAGGTCCCCAGGCTTGACCAGCCGTGACACTGTAGGGGTAAGGATGGCCCAATTGACTCTCATCCGGTTGGCGGCTGCCGCAATGTCGCCGGTGCGTTCCTCTTCCGAAGGGATGCAGACACATCCACCGGCAAGCAGTGTCAGTACAATATCTGCTACGGCAATGTCCCACGCGTGCGAGGAGAACTGTAGAACCCGTGACGCAGAGTTCATGTACATGCAAGAATGCAAATGCTTTGCCGCCGTCGCTAGACATGAGTGATCCAAAATTGCGCCCTTGGGCTTCCCTGTTGAGCCCGAGGTAAACACCGTGTAGGCCGCGTTGCTTGCACAGACTGGGACTCGGGTCCACCGAGCCGGATGGGGGCATGCTATCTCCCCAAGCAGTCGCTCACCAAGACAAACGACCTGGGGTGCGAGGTTCGATGCCTTGGAGAAGGTCCCCCGTGACGCCAGGATCAGTGGCGCCTGAACGTCCTCACATAGACCGCGTAGTCTGGCTTCAGGGTGCGAAGCGTCCATTAGCACAAAGGATGCGCCGGTCTTGAGGATACCAAGGACGGCGACCGGCACCCATCGAGACTTTTCCAGCAGAACTGGAACCGTCGTGTCCACGCCGATGCTATAATCGATGAGCTCCTCTGCCAACGCCGACGATACCGTGTCCAATTCTTCGTAAGTGAATTCCCCGTCCCAGGAGCAGACTGCCGCGGAGGCTGGGGAATCAAGGCATCGTTGATGGATGATATGATGCACGCAGGTATCGACCGGGTCGGCAAGTGGCTCGTTCCGCTGCTGGATTTGTTGCCGCTGACTGTCATCAACAACCTGAATCTCGCCAACAGGCAGAGAAGGGTGCGTGAGGACCTCGGCGAGAGCGTGCCGGAAGCATCGGGCCATACGGGCTGCATACCAATCACTCATGTGCGCCGTGTGATGGGAGAAGAGCAGCTCAACACGGTCCGGAAAGACTGCGACATTGAGTGTGACAGGGTACTGTTTATTTTTTATTTTTCGATATGTCAACTCGTGTGCACTGCAACAGGTTGGGGCGCCAACCATGGGAAACTCTCACCTCTGATTTATCCTCCATATCCTCGTCGAGCAGGACTATGCCTGACGGATCCCCAGCTGCATCCTTCCGGGGGTCTTGCTGGTACTGGACTGTAAGCAAGGTGTTAAAAAGCTCGCCCGAGGTCGACCCAATGGCATTCAAAGCCTCCGCGAGAGGCTGATGCTGATGCTCCAGGCTATGCAGATATGTTCTGTTATACTGCTGCAGCACCGATAACAGGGTCATGCCAGCCGGCATATCGATGCGGCCAACCAGCATGTTGATAAGTGGGCCAACCATATCATCAATACCCTGCACAGGCGCGTGCCGTGCAGACGCGATGTAGCCGAAACAAACGTCTTCAGATGCCGTATACTGCTTGACCACAAGGGCCCAGGCGACATGGAACAATACGGTCAGTGCCAGTTCATGGACTTCACAGAAGGTATCCAGGGCCTCGGTTGGTCCTAGCTCCATGGTGAAGGATCTGATAGTACTGACACTCTGTGGAAGATCGTTGCTGCCGTCGTGGCCTTGGAGAGAGGGTACGAGGCACGGAAGGGCTCCCTGCAGATGGGATTGCCAGTACTGATGTGACTTGAGACTGGCAGCCTGGGTGAGCATGTACTCGACGTAGTCGCGATAGGACTGTGATTCAAGCATCATTGTCGGCAGCGGCTGTCCCTCGTAAGCGCAGACAAGGTCCCGCCGGAGGATTTTCGTCGACGTTCCGTCCACGAGCGCATGATTTATATGGAGTCGGAGCATGACGTCTCCTGATGTTGACGAGGTGTGGACATGCAGCTCATGTAGCGGTTTGAGCGCATCCAGTGAAACTGGCTCGGGCTCGGGTGCGTGAGATTGATGGCTGCTGTCCTTGTGAATCCGGACCACAGGTGTGTAATCTTGCAAGACCAGCTGCTCGATGTGGCCGTCGGAGGTCTGCAAAAAGACAGTGCGAAGGGCGGGGTGTGCATTCACAACGTGCTGCCACGCTGCCTGCAGTCGGGCTACGTCCCTCAGCGAGGCACCGACAACCCTCCAGGTGAGAACCTGTTCGTAATGCCATGGTGTGCGGGTGTATCCCATGAGCATCCCCTGTTGGATCGGGGTACAGGGGTAGACGTCCTGCACAATGAGCTGACGGCCGTTAGCTAGTCTCGTTCGCATTGTACGCAGGGTCTCATCCAGCAAGTCGGACGTCACATGGGAGGATCCGAGAGGGAAATCAGACACGGTTTGGATATGTCCAGACATGTCAGTCAGCTGGGCAGCTGCCTGGCGCAGAGACCGCTCACAAACCGGCCCCCACTGATATAGACGGTCCTGGTGCCGCATGTGGCGATTAAATTGGAATTCTACTCGCAAGCAGTCATCGGCCACCTGCGCTGATACCTCAATAGGCGCAAACCGCTGCATGTCAGGAGCGACATCCCCAGCGGTAAATTGATTTGCCATGTCAATCTTCAGCATGGCGTCCGGTCGCTCTAGCTGCTGATAGCGGCCTTGATAGTTGAACAGAATCTCCATTCCCTTCATGGTCTTTGGGCCTTGCGGATGGAGATACCGCGCGGTGAAGTGTTCCCATCCGTTGGCGGGAGACCTGCGACGGGCATCCTTGGTGCGTCGTAGTGCGGTGACAAAGTCCTCAGATGCACCTAGGGATACTTGAGCTGGACAGATAGTGGTGAACCAGCCGACTGTTCTGGTGATGTCGATTGTAGCATCCCATGGCTCGCGCCCGTGGCCTTCGGAGAAGATGATGGGGGCTGGATGGTCCGGGAAGAGGTGTACAAACGAGTGCAGCAGCGCGGCCTGGACGATCTCTACGGGCTGCGTGTTCAGAGCGATGTTGGCCTTGGTGAGCAAGAGCTCACTCGTCTGCTTGTCGAGGATCAAGGCGTATCTGTCCACGTCTCGGTGCGTGTTTCTGGTCACATCTTTTCCCCAGTATGCACTGATATCAGTCTCTTGGTCCTCCTCTACCTGGTGCGGCGCGGAAAGCCGAGCAGCATAATCGGCTTGTAACTGACACCACCGGAGGAATGAAGTCGGGGGGACCTTGGGCCGTTCCCCGGTAGTAAGCAGCTGCTCGAGGTCGGCCAGAACCACCCTCCATGACACGAGATCAATAACCAGGTGATGTGCAACAAGGAAGAGCCACTTCGTTGCGTCATCTCGCTCAAACTGGTCTACGATCAGTAGAGGCCCGTGTCGGATATCCAGAGCCTGTTGACTGGCGCTGCAGATGGATTTGATCTGCGCCTGCGACTTGACACCGTGATGATGGTACCGGTAGTTACTCTGATCTGCATTCCCCTTGACTCGCTGTCTCCATGTGCCGTCGCTGGATTTCTCAAAGCGAGCCCGTAGCATGGGATGAGTCTCGACAATCACAGCCAGAGCACGGGCCATGGATTCAGCACCACCCACACCAGGTCCTTCCAAGTGCAGAAACACGCTCTGCGAGAAATGATTCGGATTCTCGAGAGCATAGTCGAAGTACATTTGCTGAATGGGCGATAAGCTAACCGCGTGATCCAAGCCAACATCCGCCTCCTCTTCGCCCGGGAGAGCCCTTTTCTCTCCCTCGTCTATACGAGTAGCATGCAACGCCAGCTGCGAAATAGTGCGATGCTTGAAAACGTCCCGCATAGTAATGTCAATCCCAGCACTCCTGCACCGAGCAACAACTTGCATGCTTGTGATGGAGTCGCCGCCGATGCGGAAGAAGCTGTTGTGGATTCCAATGTCCTCGTCAGCCATGCCCAGCACACCGGCCCATATCGCCCGGATATCATGTTGAAGCTTGTTCTGCGGCGCAACTATGGTGCTGGCGGCCGAGGAGCTGGGGCTGTAGCCATCGGCTTCCTTCCGGGACAGGGACGACAGCCGTGCGTTGATCAGCCGTCGATCGACCTTGCCGTTGTTGTCGCGGGGAACGCGGGACAGGGGGATGAAGATACTAGGCACCATATATGCGGGCACGCGCTCCACGAGAGCCAGCTCGGTGGTCTCGACGGCCTTGCGGAAGTCGGGGTTGCTCGCGGGGAGTAGGATATCAGTGCGATCCGTGTCAGTCGCAGCTGAACGCTGGGCGGCGTCAGGGGCGTAGAGCACCAATGCAAATAAAACAGCATTGCCCGTACCACCCAAGGTAGAGACGGCAGCCACAACCTGCAGAGCACCCGGGAACGTCTGCTGGACGTGGTGCTCTACTTCCGTCAGCTCGAGCCGTTGCCCGCGAAGCTTGATCTGCGAGTCCTTGCGGCGGATGTACGCGATGGATCCCCGTGGGGTATATCTGACCAGATCGCCTGTCCGATACACCCGGTGCAGCTGGGTTCCCGGTCCAGGTTCAGTGCCATTGGCATTTGAAGAGCGCCTCAGGTCGGCCAGCCAGTGCGGGCAGGGGATGAAAGCGGCGGCGGTGCGCTCGAGGTCATTCAAGTACCCGCGGCCGACGATGTCGCCTTCGATGATCAGTTCGCCTTCGGCGCCAATGGGAACTGGGTCGAGTGTGTCCGGATCAACGACCCAGGTCACCCCGCCTGTCGCATAGCCGATATCGTAGGGCGCTGCACCTGGCGGGATGCAATTCTGGACACACGAGAGGATCGTGCACTCGGACGGCCCGTATGCATTCATCAGCCTGACATGCGAGGCCCAGCGGTCAACAATGCCCTGCTGCATAGGTTCGCCAGCTTGGACTAGGGTTGTGAGGGTTGGCACGTTGGTTGGTGTGAGGAGTTGGATAACGGATGCAGTCAACATGGCCCAGTTGGCTCCCATCTCTGTAATGACCTCTGCCAGACGGTTGTCGCGATCGAATCCAGATGGAATGCAAATGCAGCCCCCGACCAGTAGCGTGATCATGTGTTCAATGAGCATCGCGTCGAAGCCGTATCCTGCGAACTGGAGGACTCGTGAGTCGGCATTGATGCCCACCGCGTCGATTATCGGCTGGATGTTGGCAATAAAGCAGCCGTGCTCGATGACTGCCACCTTGGGCTTTCCCGTCGTGCCGGATGTAGCAATTGTATACATGGCATTGGACGGCTTCACGCGCGTGCAGCCGGTCTCGAGACACAGGGGGCGTTGTTTAAGGAGAGTGTTGCCAACGCCCAGTACTGGGAGGCTGAATAGTCCGGCGACAGCCTCTTGCTGGTCCTCCGTCGTCAAAATCAAAGGCAGCTGGGTAATCGCGCAGAGTTCTCGGAGCCGCTGAAGTGGCTGGGAGGGTTCGAGCATGGTAAAAGCCCCCCCTGCCCGGAGGACGGCCAACTGGGCCACAACGGTCCAACGGGATTTCTCAATGTACAGCCCAATAAAGGTGTCCGGGCGAACAACGCCGAGGGTTTGGATACGATGTGCTAGGTCTGCAACATGGTCATCGATTTGTTGATACGTAAACTGGCCGTCCCAGGCCTCGATGGCCACGGCAGCCGGACGACGTTGACATGCGTCACGCACCAGATCATGCACACAGCGGTTGCGTCCCCACGGCGTGGGAGGCAAAGGCAGCGCGTTCCAACGCAGCAACTGCTGCAGATCCTCATCGCTCAGAATATCCAGGTCTGCGATCGTCGTTGCACTGGCCTCGGACACAGCCTGGATCTGCACGAGGAAATGATCCAACTGCGCGAGGACCCGGTGCATTTGCTCCGATGCCAGGACCTCCGGGTCAAAGGTTGCCGTCACCTCGATGGCACCGCCCCCGGGACGCGTCTGGCATTGCAGCATCAAAGCGTGGCTGCTGAACTTGTTGATATCCGACAGCACCTTCTCGCCGCAGAACCACGTGTGCCGTTCTCCAGCTCCCTGGACTTCGTGCTCCTTGGCCTCAACAGCAATCAGAGTCTGGAACTGACAGGCGGCTGCGCCACCTTCACTCTGCTGGCTGATGTTCTGCAGCCCGAGATGCTCGTACTGTGTCTGCTTGACGAACTGGGCTTGCACCGCTTCCAGGGCTTCGCATACCCGCTGGGTTGCACCGAGGCGGATCCTCAGCGGTACACTTGCGATGGTGGGCCCAGGAACCTTGACAATCCCCGCAACCGGCGCGGTTCGCCCGGAGGAGACAAAGCCAGTCACGGTGTCGCTGTTGTTTGTGTAGGCTCGGCTCACCAGCGCCCAGGCCAACTTGATCTTGGACGCCACCGTGACGTTGGATTGGGTGGGATTGTCTGGCAGGTCGATGATCCTGCTCATAGATATGCGCGGTTGAGGCCGGTGGGTGAGAGAGGGCAAGGCCGGGAAATGAACCGATGGTGAGTCTTTTAGCTCTTGCGTCCAGAACGCGCCTGCTGACTGCATGGAGCTTTCGACATGCGCGATGAAGTTGTTGAACTTGGCAGCTGGCGGGAGCGGAAGCCCAAGATACGCCTTGTCGACCTCGGCAACCAGCAAGGACAGGGTCCACCCGTCGTATAATGCATGGTGGATTACAAGGTGCAAGTGGCCTGGAGATAGCATAAGATGGGCCAGGGGTGTCCCCAGGCCCATAACGGGCTGGGAGGCGAATACATCGTCTGGAGTCTCGTGGTGTGACCAGTTGAGTGGCGAGTTGAGGACAGCTTGGTAGGAGGAACCATCTGGTGTCTGGAAAATGCGTGTTCGGAGAATGGGGTTGCGCTTCGCCGTGACTGCCCACGCCTGCTGCAATCTTTCGATATCGATGTCGGGCACCAAAGTGTAGGCATTCAGCCTTACGTAGGCCCCGCGTTGGTGGACAGTTGCAGCAATCAGATTGGCTTGAAGGGGTGTACAGGGGTAAATATCCTCGATCGTCTCGATGGAGGTCTTGCATTGCTCACTGGCTACGCGCAACAGCGCGTCAGCGTCCTCCACCAGGGCGAACGGGGCAGGCCCGTCGTCATTGTCGTCGCTGCCGCGAGACAAATCGCGGGTCTCAGACAAGGCAGCAATCTCCCTCAGCCGAGGACTTTGAAGGACGTCTTGGAACGTAAGACGAGGCAGACCATCCTGGCCAGCCAGATCCAAGAGCCTGATCACCGAGAGCGAATCCCCTCCAAGCCGGAAGAAAAGATCGTCACGTCCAATGCGCTGTGCGGGTACTCCCAAGACTCTGGCCCAGAGCGCCTGCCATGTCTTCTCGGCAGCAGACACAGGGGGCTCCTTGCTGACATTTCTGCAATTGTCTGCTACTCCCGTGGTGTATGACTGCAACTGTTCGGGGGTCAACCGTTCGGCCGCCTGTCGCAGCTGGCGGCGATCAATCTTCGAGGTCGCTCCGTAAGGGACCCGATAGAGGGGACACATAGCCGTTGGGATCATATGTGCAGGCAAAACGCCTTCAAGACGCGTGACTGCTGCTGCACAGGCTTGCAGAAAGTTCTCGTCTGGCTCCCGAAGCAGCAGCTGGGTCTTCTCCTCCTGTCCTTGAACAGGCGTTGTGTAAACAAATGCTACAAGCATGACTGCTGCTGAGCCCTGGGGCTGGATAACCTCCGCCACGACCTGCTGAGCACCCACAAAGTGAAGCCGAACTTGATGCTCAACGTCCGTAAGGACCACCCGCTGCCCGCGCACCTTAACCTGGGTGTCCTTCCTCCCCAGATACTGGAAACATCCGCCCTCTGCAACGCGCACGAGGTCGCCCGAGCGAAAGAGATGTCCGGGCTTTACCCCCGGCCGAATCTTGCGGAGCCACTCCGGGGCGTCGATGAACGCCTCCCGCGAGAGCTCCGGCAGATCGAGGTACCCACGCGTCACAGTCGGCCCCTCAATGAGCAGCTCGCCGACGGCCCCCAACGCAGCGAGCCGGTCAACATTATCCGGAACCGTCACCCAGCCCACGACGCCGCACATGGGGCCAAACAGTCCGGGGTGATGGCTTCCAGGCTCGATGTGGTTGAAGGCACATGTAAAGGCCTCGGCCGGCCCGTAGCCATTCAGCAGCCGCAGCCGCGACGACCACAGCTCCATCAACTCCAGCGGGATGGGCTCGCCGGCAAGCACGAGCGTTTCCAGGCCGGGCACACTTTGCGGCCTGAGAATCGTCGACGCGGAGGGGGTCATAATTGCCCAATTGACTTGGTGTTCGCGGATGAAGCCGGCGAGATTTGACAGGCGCTGCTCCTCGGATGGGATGCATAGACAGCCGCCGTGAACCCAGGTGAAGAATATCTCTTGCAGGCTTACGTCCCACGCGTAGCTGCAGAAGTGCAGGGCTCGCATCCCCGGATGGGCGTACAGGGCGTCGCGGTGGTGATGGAATGCTGTAGTAAAATGACGATGCTCGATGACGATGCCTTTGGGTGTTCCGGTCGATCCCGATGTAAATAGAATAAAGGCTACGTCGTTGGGCTGGACAGTTGGCCATTGTATCTGCGCTGCTTCTTCCGTCGTGGTAGTAGTCATGGGTACGGACGTTTGGGAGATCTCGATAACTGGAAGTCCTGTCTGCAGATCTCGCATCATGGGCCCCATTTCAGAGGACGCGAGGATAAGGGAAGGGTTTGATACCTCCAAAATCGCCGATATGCGTGCTGGAGGTAGTGTCGGATCGATGTTGACCGCAGTGGCCCCAGCACGAAGGACTGCCAGCATGCTGAGCACCGGCCAGACGGACTTTTCGAAACACAGCGCTACTCGATCTCGCTCCTTGACGCCAGCCTGCATAATAATAGTTTGAGCAATAGTGGCGGAAAGCACGTCCAGCTCCCGGTAAGTGAGGCCCCGGTCCCAGGATGACACAGCTGGCATCAGCGGCTCTTTTTGCGCATTCTGCAGGATCACGTCGTGGAGCGTACGTGAAATTTCCACTGGAAGACAGACGCCATTCCATTTCGTTAGAAGCTTCCTGTCTTCGACACTGACAAGCTCCAGCTCCCCCACCACACGGTCATGCTGACCGGCACAGAGTTGCTGCAGAACATTCGCAAACTGACCCATCATGCGCTCGGCCATGTACCCCGGAAGGATATCACCGTCAAAGTATGCGCTGATATGCAGCGACTCGTTCCCAGCGGACGGCGTGCATACCAACCCGATAACATAGTCGATGAACACGCTAAAGTCCTCTAGACCATGGAGGGCGGTTTTGCCCACCATGATCGGCGGCGCATCATCTTGATGACTAGGATCGAGAGCGGCCGGCTGCTGGAAAACCAGCTGGCTCTGGAAGTCGCAAGCGGCAGCTGCCTGCGGGCTCATCTGGCGGATCTTCTGCAGCCCCGTCTGCTCAAAAGCCATCATGCTGATTGCCAGAGACTGAACTGCCTCAAGAACATCTGCGACTTTCTTTTGCTTCTGACAGCGCACTGGAAAGGGAACGGTTGCAATTGTGGGGCCTGTCATGTCCTGAGCTCCCGCGGTTGCTGTCGCTCGCCCGTTGACTGTCACGCCGAACACAACATCCTCCGAGTCCGTATGGGCCGAGACGACAATCGCCCATGCGAGGCGGGCCACGTTAGACAATGTAATGCCTGAGCCGGTCCGTGAGAGGAGCGGGATAGTCCGCTCAAGGTGGGTTGATGCTCTCGGCACCGCCCTGTCGTGTGGGAGTGATGGGAACACCGGGGCATGAATATCCGCGAACGTCGCCGTCCAGAACTCCCTCTCCGAAGCTCCATCCTGCTTCTGGACCGTTTCGATGAACGGGCTGAATAAGTTGGGGTCAAGGTTTGCTCCATAGTATGCCTGCTGGGTCTGCTCGAGCAAGAGACCCAGCGAATGTGCATCGAAGATGGCATGGTGTAGCGTCAGGCCAAGTGACCACCCTGAGAAGCCGTCCCCGATTAGTGCAAATCGAGCGAGGGCGTCGCCCGGGTGCATGGGAATGACAGCGTCTTCCATTTTGTAGGCTCCGACAGTCGGATAGCTCTGCCACTGGATGGCCGAGACTTGCTTGCCGAGGACAGCTTGAATCAAGTCTCCCGAAGCCCGCCTCACGATCCTGGTCCTGAGGATGACATTTGCATCCACTGTCTGTTGCCAGGCGGCTTTTAGACGTTCGAGATCGAGGCCGCGGGCGAGATCGAAAACGCACCGCGCGATGTACCTGCCGGGTACTCTCATGGTGGATATCATGAGACCCTGTTGTAATGCCGTGCAGGGATAACAGTCTTCAATAGCAGAGATGGACATCCCGCATTGCTGTGCTGCGGATGCAATGGTCTCATCGTGGCCGCCGGCAAGGAGAGAAAAGGGAGGGGGAGATGATGCGGCCGCAGAAGCCCGCTGGGGTCTCTCAGTATTCGTCAAATACTGGGCCAGCTTGCTGACCGTTGGCTGGCCCAGAATGTCAGCCACGGTCACGTTATACTCCTTCGTCGTCAACAGACCGACGGCTCGCATGGCAGCTAGGGAGTCTCCTCCCAGGCGTATGAAACTATGGTGAACGCCAAACGTGGCACCGTCGATTCGGAGCACTTGAGCAAAAACCACATGCAGGGCCTTCTCTAGCACCGTCTCTGGCGGCACCAGCTCAACAACCCCAGTAGGCTGATAAGCCTCCAACTCGCGCCGCGTGCACTTCTGAACACTTTCCCGGAGTGCTCGACGGTCAACTTTTCCAGTGACAGTCATGGGGATAGACGCGAGCGGCAGGTAAAATGACGGCAACATATGATCCGGCAGAGTCTGTTCCAGCTTATTCTGCGTCGACTGAACTATGGACTGAAACCGCTCGGAGGCGGCCGCAAACAGCGTTTGTGATGTCGTCTCTTCGGTCCTCTCACCTGCATCATCAGCAGAGTAGTATAGGAACAAGACAAGAGCAGGGACTCCATTCGCATCGAGTGGTGCCGCGGTCTCCGCAATCACGCGCGCAACATCTGGACAGCATTTGCTCACATGAAACTCGACCTCGCCCAAGTCCAGTCGCTTGCCGCGGATCTTGACCTGCGTTCCCTTCCGTCCCACGTGGGTGACACTGCCATCGTGCGCGTAGCGGAAAAGATCGCCTGTCTTGTACATGCGAGCAGCAGCGCCAACGATTGGCAAACCCAAGGACTGTCGCCAGACGGGGGGGTCAATGAACGCAGTCAACGTGGACTGGACGTCGTCCAGGTATCTCTGAGCCAATGCGGGGCCCTCGAGGATCAACTCTCCTGTGACTCCCACCGGGGCAAGCTTGTGGTAGTCGAGAGCATCAGAAATCCAGAACCTCATGCCGGGGAACGCCTGATAGGCAATTTCATTCCCGTCGCATTGGTGATCTGTGAAACCGATGGCGCCGGAAACCTCGCTCGCGCCGTAGACGTACACCAGGTCGACAATGGCAGCCCAAGCCTCGAACTCGCCCTTGACCACGGGCTCGCCGCCAAGAAAGACTCGTTTCAACGTCGCTGGCGAGCGTTCAGGGTCCAGTGTTCTCAGCAAAGACGGGGTCATGCATGCCCAGGTGATCTTCATCTCGTCCATCACTGTCGCTAGGCTGTTGATCCGATCGTGGTCCGTTGGCATGCAGATCGTAGCGCCCGAGCTCAGGGCATAGTAGATCTCAAAAATGGATATGGCAAAGGTATAGGACGCGAATTGCAGCACTCTGGTGGACGAGGAGAGGCCCATCGACTGCACGACGGCTTGGTTCGGTATCTGCGCCATCGCCCTGCAATCCACGACGCATCCCTTTGGTTGGCCCGTGCTTCCAGAAGTAAAGAGGACGTAGGCGGGACTGGATGGGCTTGACAATGGCACAAGCCGATAGGTAGTAAAGTCGGCGGGCAGGCTTGACATCAAGCTGTGGTTGATGCAGACAACCTTCTCCGCCAGTAGCGCTGCCCGGCCTGCATTGGCGTCCGACGTGAGCAGGAATCCACAGTTGGTGCGCTTGGTGATCTCTGCCAGGCGGGCATTAGGATGTGCAGGCTCCAGAGGCACAAATGCCCCGCCAGCCTTAAGCACGGCCAGTTGTACGACAATGACCCAGTGACAGCGCTGGAATAGGAACGGCACAAGGATGTCAGGGCGAACCCCAAGGAGACGCAGGTGAACAGCCAGCTTGTTACTGATCGTATCGAGCTCATGATACGTCATGATTACATCTGGTGAGTGGATTGCCGTGGCCTCTGGCTGCGAAAGCGCCTTTGCGCGGATAGTGTCGAGGATCGAGCCGTCGGTGTTGGTGGGAGGAGCTTGGAAATTGTTCCATCGTACAAGGCATTGTTGATTATGCTCGCTAAGTAGACTCAAATCCCCCACCGTGCGGCTGTTGTCTTCTGCCGACATTTCTACCATGACCTGGGAGACGGTGGATGCAACGGCTGTGGCCTGGTCGCTGGAGAGTATGGTTGTCGTTGCTACAAGAACTAGTCGATGGGGCGGCTCTCCCTCCAAGACTAGTAGGCAGTCGCACTGAACAGACAGAAGAAGATCTTGTTAGCATTGTATGCAAACCCCGGGGGGTGTTTACCAAGTCAACAACCTACCGGCTGGTTGTCTTTCTGGATCCTTCGAAAAGTGTCGAGGACCGCCGTAGGGTTGACCTCGAGAGAGGTATCCCCAATCAGCAAGCCTGTATTCATCCGTGTTTCCTCGCAGAGGGCACTCGGCAAAGGCCGTAACTCTGCGATGCGCTCCAATAGATTCGGGATGGACTCTTCGCGAGAGACAGGTACCTCGCAAACCTGCACTCCTGAGTGATCGGAAAACACAAAGCAGACCAAGTCGGTTTCCAAGAACTGCTGCAGCACGATGGACCAGACTGCCCGGAGGAAATGGACGATATCATAACCCCTTCTCGCCGTATAGGCTATGGCTCTTTCTCGAGCGTCGGTCGAGATCTCATTCACGGTCACTGAGGGCTCTCGTCCGCCGTCATTCAAGACGGGGAACAGGCCCTGGTGCTTCCTCTTCATAGTGTCCATGAATGCAGATCTTGATTGTAGTAGCAAAGACAAATCTATATCAACGGAGGAGCGGTTCTTGACGGGCTAGATCCTGGTGTTTATGGGGAAGTACAGGAAAAATAAACTTGCGTTGAGAATGATGATAAAGTGCGCTGGGAATAGCAGATGCTATCTATCTACATGTCAGTCTACTAGATGGACAGCTCGTGTTGCGCACCAGGCAAGGGGCAAGGAATGTCTTGCCCACGTTCAATAAGCGGTCTGCAACTCGACGCAGGGGAGGAGAGTATCTAGATAGTCTTGATAGCATGGTGGAAAAATAGGTATGAGATGGAATAAATACCGAGACAGCGACCTTGATTGAGTTCCCCCCCTCCTACTACTACTACTACTATACTGCTACTGCTACTACCCTTTTATCTGGCCACGTTCAGCGGACTCCAAGATGCTACAACCATCTGCCCAAGGAAGCTACAGCAAGGCCGTGCTGTCGACATTTCGATCCCTGGATGATCTCACCTGTGATGGTTCCAAAATCATTCTCGATGGCCAATCGCTCAATGTGAGCTCAGTGGTCGCCGCAGCATGGTATGCCCTCTCTCTCTCTCTCTCTCTCTCTATATACAGCCACATATCTTCTGACTATGATAGCCATCAAGTGCCAGCGTCAATCAGCAAGGACCCGCAGCTTCATGCGCGGCTGCGAGAAAGCGTCGAGCTGCTTGCCCGCAAGCTGGCTGAAGGCGAAATCGCCTATGGGGTCAACACCGGGTTTGGTGGCAGCGCTGACACCCGCACCGATGACTATTCCACCCTGCAGCAGGCACTGGTCCAGCATCTGGCGTCCGGTGTGTTGCTGCCCACCGACCGCAGCAGTAGTCGACCATCGTCGCGGTACCCGCATGGTTTGAGAAGCCATAGCATGCCCACAGCCGTGGTCAAGGCTGCCATGCTCGTCCGATGTAACTCACTCTTGCGAGGGCATTCCGCCGTCCGCCCCGAAGTCATTGAGCACATCCTGGCTTTCCTACGCAGTGGTCTAATCCCGGTGGTGCCTGTTCGGGGGAGCATCTCGGCATCCGGCGACCTGTCCCCGCTCTCGTATATCGCCAACGCTCTCGAGGGGAACCCCGACATTGCTATCCAGAATGAGGCCACTGGGGACGTCATCCGCGCCGACGAGGCGTTGCAGCAGTTGGGCCTTGCGCCTCTCAGGTTCGGGCCCAAGGAGGGCCTGGGCCTGCTCAACGGCACGGCCTTTAGCGCTGGCGCCGCCAGCTTGGTCCTCTTCGAAGCCAACCAGCTCGTGCTCCTTTCCCAGGTACTGACAGCGATGGGAACGGAAGCGCTGGCGGGCTCGACCGGGAACTACCATCCCTTCATTGCGGGCGTCCGTCCCCACCGCGGGCAAATCGAGGCGGCCGGAAACATCTTCCACTTACTGCGGGACTCGCGCATGGCCACCAGCCCTGGCGCCGATGGCGCAAGCCACAGTAGTAGCTTGGCGCAGGACCGGTATGCGCTTCGCACCGCATCCCAATGGATAGGCCCACAGATCGAAGACATGTCTCTTGCTTCGGAACAGGTCCACTGCGAATTGAACTCCACCACAGACAATCCCTTGCTGGATCCGGGCTCGGGCCACATGCACCATGGAGGGAACTTCCAGGCCACTTCGATTACCAGTGCCATGGAGAAGACCATGAGCGCGATGCAGATGCTTGGCCGCATGATCTTTTCCCAGTGTACCGAGCTCATCAACCCGGCCTTGAACAATGGGCTGCCACCAAACCTCTCCTTCGACGACCCCAGTCTGTCGTTCACCATGAAAGGAATCGACATCAACATGTCGGCATACATGGCCGAATTAAGCTACCTGAATCACCACGTCAGCAACCACGTCCAGTCCGCCGAGATGCACAACCAGGGCCTCAACTCCCTCGCCCTGGTCGCCAGCCGCTACGCGGCCGAGACGGTCGAGGTCTTGTCCTTGATGGCCGCGGCATATCTCTATGCACTGTGTCAGGCGCTCGATCTCCGGGCCTGCCACCTGGAGTTCCTCCGCGACGCTCGCAGCACGGTCGATAGCCTCACCGCCGAGTTATGCCTGTCATTCTCCCCCCTGTTGTCCGAGTCCGACCAGCGTCAGATCCAGGATTCCACATGGGAGCAGCTCCTGCACCACTGGAACCGAAGCAGCACCAGCGACCTCCACGACCGCAGTCGCAATGCGGCGAGTCACACGATGGGTGCCCTCGTCGAGCTGCTGCCGATGCAGCTGAACGAAGCGACTGCTCTGCCCACTCGCATCGCCCCCCAGCAGCAGTGGCTCGACGAGGTGTCTGCCACGTTGGCTGGCAGCTACGATGCAACCCGAGCCAAGTTCCAATCCAATCCGACCACCCCCTTCTATCTCTGCAGTGCATCCCGCAGGATGTACGAATTCGTGCGCAAGGGGCTGGGGGTGCCGCTTCACCGCGGGATTGTTGACCACCCGACCTATCCTTCTGTAACCGAGGAGCACGCTGGCAAGGAGCTGATCGGGTCGCAGGTGAGCAAGATCTACATGGCATTGCGTGGAGGTGCGTTCCGTGACGTGCTACAAGATTGTTGGTATAGTTCGGATTCTGTGTGGGGTTTTGCTGGCGAGGAACTGGTTTTGGCTTCCAAGTTGTGATTTTGTTTGTTTTTACTGAGATGGTTTATTAAAAAGTCAGGCATTATACCATACCAGTGGAATTTGTTCAACTCTTAAAAAACATGGTCTAACAAAAATGAACTTGATGCAAGAAAGAGCATTGGCTTCCCGCTAACTAACCCATTGAATGAAGGACGACACAGTACATAAAGATAAGGTTCCGGTAAGAGTCGGTTAGTATGTGTCTGTCTGTGTCTGAACCTATAGAGAGAAATTCCAACAACATACTGGGTACTCAACGTCGCCTCGGGAGAGTCTTGAATAGTCTCACTTCTCACTCTTTGCATTCGCCAATGAGATATATAGCTCAACGAGACAGGCCCCCCTTCGCATTCCTGGTGATTTGTATCTTAACGGGGCTATAACCCAAGATAATGAATGAATGGACCTGACAGCTTTTCAACCTCTCCACTTTCAGTATCAGCCAGCAAGGGTCCGCGGAGAAAGACGTTGGTTCTTCGGGAAACTCAAGTATATGTCTGTCCCTAACCTCGACTGGAATGTCCCGTGGAAGTCTCAATCATTGGGAAATAGGGTGTTTGCTCACCGCTACATCATGTATCATGACAAGAGCGTCATCCCTGCAGGCCATTATCTGGCATTCCAAATGGACTATCGCGCTTACCTGAGCATCTTCTCACAAGTTTCCATCTCCCCCCCCCCCCCCCCCCCCCTGGATGAGTGACTGTCGGTATAAGAACGACCAAACCAGATTCAGAGACCACAGTTTCCCCCCTTCTCGCCCGTAATACACTCACCAGACCTCCTCGAAGATGGATTCGGCATTTGTGCTGCCTCACCCCGCTTCCATGGGAGCGTCGTGCATTCTCGGTCTCCTTCTATTGACTATTTTGCGAGCACTTCTCATACCCAAGAAGGCACTCCCCTTAGCCATCAACCACCACCGATGGGATATCTTCAACCGCAGGGCCATCCAGGATTTCACTGCCAACCCACAAGACCTGATCAAGGCAGGATTGAAGAAGGTGATCGATCCCAAGATAGCACCACGGTTTGCGAAGGGTACGGGTTTTACTGAGTGATGTCGTTAGGGATCACCAGGCTTCCACGTTGTAACAAACACAGGCACCTTCTTGGTCCTACCAGAGCGGTACTCGGAAGAGGTGAAGAATGATGAGCGATTCAGCGCCTATGAAGCCTTATCCCGCGTATGTGCTTTGTCTGCATGGAGATTACTAGGTCTCCTCTTCGCTAAGCCCTAGAGTTCACCGCAGATCATCCTCCTTGAGCTGCCGGGCTTTGAATCAGTCTTCGAGGGCTTGATGCACAATGATGTGGTACTTCCTGGAGTCGCCGCCATGAACCGGCAGCTGGGTATGTCCTGGACTCGATTCCGATCGGATTGCCGATGCACTGAATGATGAATTTAACAAACCACCCGGGTTTAGCATCATTGACCAGTCCCATGTCCGAAGAGGTGTCCCATTACCTACAGACCAACTGGACCGATGATCCCGGTACTACCATGTACCCCTTGAATAGCAGGGGCCAACTAACGCTTTTCTTTTTGTGGCAACGTAGATTGGCATACCCAGTCTGTCAGCGCGTCCATGTCGGGCTTAATCGGCCAAGCAGCCGCACGCATAATCGTTGGGCCCGAGCTGTGCCGCAACAAGGAATACCACGCGATTACCCTTAGCTACACGATGAGCCGTGGCCGAGCCCTCGCCGCCATCCACGCCTGGCCGCGGGCGCTGCATCCCCTTATCCACTGGTTTCTGCCGTCCTGTCGTAACGTGCGGACTCAGATTCGGCGCGCAGAGAAACTCATCACACCAATTCTGGAGCGTACTCGACGAGCAAGAGCGAGGGGCGACCCGCCACAAGCATTCTCGACCCTTGCCTGGTCGGATGAATATGCCAGGGCACAGGGCCGAAGTTACAATGCCACTCTGGCCCAGATGCGCTTCACCTCGTCGTCGATCCACAATACCTCGGACCTTTTGGGAAAGGTCATGTTGAGGATCTGCCAGCGTCCGGACCTGATCGAGCCGCTGCGGAGGGAAATCGTTGCGGCTTTTGATGGGGGCTCAGGTGCCCAGCATCACTCACTTGGAAAACTCAAGCTGATGGAGAGTGTGATGAAGGAGACTCAGCGGTTGGAACCTGCTGCGGAACGTGTGTCATATCCCCCGCCCTTAACACCCGAAAGACTGACCGGTTACTCTATAGTAAACATGTTCCGCGTTGCCAAAGAAACAGTCACCCTCTCCGACGGGACCACGATCCCCAAAGGGACGATCTTCGGTTTCTCATATCAGAACCGCTTCGACCCCTCCATGTATCCCGACCCCGAGACCTTCGACCCGTATCGGTTCATGAGAATGCGACAGGACCCTGTCCAGGCGAGTCTCGCCTCGTTCACCAAGGCCAGGAGCACTCATTTGTCGTTTGGGCTCGGGAGGCACGCCTGCCCGGGTCGGTTTATGGCGAACGACATGATCAAGCTCGCTCTGAGCCATATCCTGCTGAAATATGACTTCAAGTTGGTTGGCGAGGAGCTTCCCAAATTGGAGATGCACGGGTTTGTGTACGCGAGGGAACCAACGGCACAGATCCTGGTGAGGAGGCGACAAGAGGAGGTTGTTTTATGAAAGCTGGTCCACTCGCGAATGTTGGTGACGAGTCTTTCTTTCTTTCTGGATGGATGGATGGATAGCCCCGAGAAAAAATGCGCATGGTAGTACTGCATGCATGGTCAGATCTAGATAGAATCCTACCATCTTTCGTAAGGCAGCTTACTAAACCAAAACACTCAGACTATATAATTTCTATTACATGTATTTAGAGTACTCCGACTGTCGTAGAGATCCATAAATCTACTACATACATACAATGCTACCCTAGATGATGATGTCATCATATGTTGCATTCACCAACTTCCCCAAGGGACCTACTATCTCTTCGTGACTTCTGTACACGAGTATCTACAAGTTTCAGCTGACTCGAGAGAAAAACTGCCGACTGACTACGGAGTCCTCAATTCCTCTCAAGATTGAGATTGATCGGCACCTGGACTCGGTCTTTGCTCCGCTCCGCTACGGAGTACCCCGCTTACTTACATCCGCATATAAAACCTTCCCCTCACCACACTCCATCCACTCGGCCAAGAATACAATACCCAACCACCACAGAAGCTAAGGGGAACAAAAGAAGAAGAAGCAAAATGCCCTCCAAAATCACCGTCGCAGTCGCCCAAGCTCGCACCCACAAAACAACACAAGCCACCCTCTCCGCCCTCTCCCGCATCGCCCACCACGCCCGCACCCGCGGCGTGCACCTCCTCCTCTTCCCCGAAGCCTATCTAGGCGGATACCCACGGACCTGCTCCTTCGGCTGCGCGGTGGGCTCGCGCGCCCCGCACGGCCGCGACCAGTTCCTGGCGTATTTCCGCTCGGCGGTTGATCTAGGCGATACGCCTGCGGGGGCGGGCGATGACTGGGTGCATCGACGCTTGCCTGTCGCCAAGGGGCGGAGCGAGCGCGGCGATGGGACGAGGGAGGAGATGGAGCGCGTGGCGCGAGAGACGGGGGTGTTTCTCGTTGTGGGGGTTATTGAGCGCGCGGGGGGCAGTTTGTATTGTGCGGTTGTTTATGTGGATCCCCTGCGTGGGTGTCTCGGGAAGAGGAGGAAGGTTATGCCTGTATCTCCCCTATTCTTTTTTTCCTCTAGGTTCCATTGGGGTGAAGATGATAGGGGCTGATGGTGATGATTTAGACAGGAACGGAACGCCTCATCTGGGCGCAAGGCTCCCCCTCCACCCTCAAAGCCGTCACCACGCACCTCAACGGCGTCCCTGTGACGCTTGCCGCGGCGATCTGCTGGGAGAACTACATGCCCCTCCTGAGACAGAGCCTCTACGCCCAGAACGTCAATATCTATCTTGCCCCCACGGCTGACGCGCGGGATACCTGGCTGTCGCTTATGCGGACGGTTGCCTGCGAGGGCCGCGCGTTTGTGCTCTCGGCGAATCAGTGCGTACGCTACAACGAGTTGCCCGAGTGGGTGACCTGTCCCCCTGGCCCTGGGGCTGGGGGGCAGCAGACGCAACAGCTGCAGCTGCAGACCAGGCCGGCGCATCGCAAGAAGCATTCCATTACGGCCGAGGGGCCGCATGAGATCGTTTGGCCCGAGGCCGAAGGGGGGAAGACCGGGGAGACGGTGACGGAGGCTGCTCCTCCGGCTGCTGCTGCTTCAGCTCCTGCGGTAGACGGTGTTCCTCGTATGTCTATGCCACTACGGAACTCTGCTTATATTGACTATAACTGATATGATGATAGATGGCGATGATTTTGTCTGCCGCGGGGGATCGTGCATTGTCGGCTGCCAAGGTGACGTGCTGGCCGGCCCCATCTGGGAGGTCTCTGCGGATGATGCGCCCGACTCGGCGGTGACGGCTCGCGCGGCTGGAACCGATGCCGATGGCAATGCGGTCGGGGATGGGCTGCTTGTGGCTGAGATCGACCTGGAGGACTGTGAGCGCGGACGCCTGGATATGGACGTTGCGGGGAGCTATTCGCGCAACGATGCGTTCAAGTTGACGGTCGATGGGTTGGACCTGAGTCCTCCTCCGTTCTAACCGGGTGACTACAATGGAACTTGTGTAGGGCTTCAAGATGTAGTTTGAAGTGACTCCAGATTATCATATAGGTCGTAAATTCATACGTCATATCAAATACACAGGCGCCTTGACCAATACATTCGTAGGCCCTCTGCCGCGTACCTCGGCGCTCAGGAACGACGCAAATCGGATCCGGCCGCCGCTTCGTTCCTCCACCGGCTCTTTCAGCTCCTTGCCGCCGTGGCTCGCCTCGACGGCCGGGACCTGCCGCTTGCCCATCAACGTGTTGAAAACCGACCGCATGCGCTGTTCGCGTCCGGGGGTGGATTCCGCCGCTGCCCCATCCACCGAGTTGCTACCGCCCGACGGGGGCACGGACTCGCCGTCGCCATCCTCGACAAACCCTTCGTGAGCGCCCTCGTGCTCAATCGAGCCTCGCGTAGGGGGCACCTCGGGGGGCTGTTTCACGTTCGTCAGCGGCGGCAGGCCACTCTCGATCTTCATGACGGCCTCGTTGACCAGCGTTCCCGGCATGAAGTACTCGACGCAGATGTCGCGCGACTCCAGCGGGATCTTCTCCGAGATGCTCACGGCGTTCTCCACGATCATCCGTGCACCGTTCTCGAGCCCCGCCGGCGGAGGCTCACACAGATTCATCTCCAGACACGCAACAAATTTCTCCACGAGATGATCAATGAGCTGCGCCCGGTTTTCCTCCGCGGCTTTGCCCTGCAGCGAGTCCGTCAGACCGTCGAATGTCGTTCGCCGCCAGTTGGAGATCCGCGCGATCGCATTCTCGCGGTCCTCCTCTGTGTAGGCCTTGATCTGTTGCCGGCGCAGGTTCATCTCGATGCTCTTCAGCTGCAGACTCAAGTTCGGTTCCAGAGCTGGATGGAAATGCCGCTCAAAGATCTCTTCGACCAGCCATCGGCTCATCGTCGCGCGGCCAATGGCCGTCATTTCCTTCATGCCGGTTGCGTGTGCGTCCTCATTGACATGGCCAGCCAACCAGGTGGGCAAGCTCTTCCAGTCTCTTCGAATGGAAAAGGCCAGATCCTTGATGGCGCCGTCAAGCCGCGCGAACCGGTTGACATATTCGTTGTCGTCGAGAACCGTTCGGGACACCGCCATGCGCTGATGAGCCACGGTATTCTGCAGTTGCTGCACCTGAGCATCTTTCTCGAAATAGTACCGCTTCACTTTGGAGTACTTGGCCTCTACACTCTTGTCAGTATGTCTGCCGACTGGGGCGCTCGGGCGTGAATCTTACGGAGTTCGTCATGCTTTTGGAGCAAAGCTCGCACATCGATCTCGGAAAGATCATCTCGTCTGCTCGAATTGACAGGAGGCGTGCTGCGCCCTGACTCTGTAGCATTCTGCTGACTGGCGCCTTGGAAAGCCGGGTGACCTTGGGGCTGCGTCTGCGGTGGACCGGCCAGACGGTCGGATGATGAAGCCATGCCGCTCTGCTGGGTGCAGGAGGGGTGCAGATCGGGTTGATGGGAGAATGGGGGCAACGGAGAGGGCGGCCCCGCGGACTGGCGCGATGGAGGTCGTGCACTCAACGGCGGCTCCACTTGAAGTTGGGAAACAGGCGATTGTTGCTGCGGCTGCTGCTGCTGTAAATGTGTCTGTGACTGATTAGAGATGACGTGGGAAGGGTCGACAGGTTGTCTAGAAGCCGAGTCCACAGGTGAGGAATTGTATAACTTCTCGAGAAGGCTCGGATCGGTGTTGGATCGCTGAATGGAAGGCGGGTGCTGCGGAGAACGGGGAGGTCGCTGATGAGCTGATGTCGTGTCCTGCTGCATGAGGAGAGACTGTGAGCTACCCCAGTTCGGTTCTACCACATGGTCCTCGGGCACTGTCTCGGACGAGGAATGGTAATTGATATTTCGGTTACTCTTCTGAGGATCTCGATCGCGATGCGTTCGGTGGGTGTCTAGCGATAGTTGTTGCTGATGCCGTCGCTGGCGGGACGATTGCGACGAGGCAGTACCTTTGACGGACAGGCTGCGTTCCAAGAAGCCAGTCGATGAGGACGAGGACGAAGAGGCAAGGCCGAATAGCTTTCTGCGGGACTTTTGTGGCGGATCCTGTTTATTGCTATCGTGAGCGCTGGGGGCCAAAGCCGGTTGCTCAGAGGCCCTGTCCACGCTGGACTGGTCGGCAGGGTCAGCATCGATGAAGTGAGTAGTAGCAGCTGGTAAAGCGGGGGTCGCAAGTACCGAGTTGAGCAGAGTGGGAGAGTGATGGCTTTGCGACCGAGTGATTGTAGGCTGATACGAAGGGGGATGCTCTGGAGGGTTCTGATGATCGGGATGATCGGGATGAGTCTGATGATATAGCTGATGGGGATGGGGATGGTGCTGTTGTTGTTGTTGTTGACAATACGAGTTGTCTGGCGGGTCCGCAGGAGAAGTGGGGAGGCGTACGTCGGAGAAGCGCTGATAAAACGCACGATCTTCAGGAGGAACACGAGGCGACGAACCGGTGGACGGAGGAGGGGGGACGGTCAGTCGCTCGACCGAACGAAAGGCGGGAGATGCAGCAGGCGACGGGGATTTGTGCTTTTTGCGAAACAAAGGCATGGAGAGTGGGATGGACGCGATGCGATGGTCGTCCAAAGAGGACGAAAAGGAGGCGGGGAGGAGAGGAGAGGGGGCGATGAAGCAATCAACAACAACAACACAACTGCAGCCACGGACAGTAAACAGTAATTCAGACGATGAGACGACGATGAATGAATAGTGGAATCGATGGAAGAATAATCATGACTAGATTTGTTGTTGGTTGTTGATTGCTATAAATAATCCAACCGAACACGAGGCGAACGCTCATAAAGAACAAGGCTAAATCCATCCGGCGATATCCAATAAGATCCAGGATCAACAAAACGAGATCATCTTCAGGTAGAGCTCAGGTCGCTCTCACTTGGAAGCGATAAGCCTCTTTGCGATCCAAATACTCCACTTGTCCTGCCAATCCCGCCTTCTGCATCTCTATCTTGAAGTCCTCCAGCGAGCTCGCAAATACATCGTAATCATCGAAGTGGATTGGAATGGTCAGATCAGGCTTGATCAGGCGCACGAGCTCCACGCCCTGTTGCGCATCCATCGTGACCATCATCGTCAGCGGCCACATCTTCGGATGAGGTACCGTCGTGCCTCCAAGATGGATCAGCATCAGGTCGATCTTCTGGCCCTCGAACCGCCGCGGGATCTCCTTGAGCTCATCCACCATCAGCGTATCGCCGGAGATGTAGATGCGATAGCCGACTTCGAAATCGGTTTGCATAGTTTGGGTGCTGCCATAGCCTAATTCAACCATCCATCCGTTGGTGGGGGGAATCTTGATTGTCAATGCATTGTCCTATATCCTCGCGATGGCAGGGAATGCTTACTGCCGCCACGAACTCGTTCAATTTCTCCACGACCTTGTTGGTCGCGATGTGTTTGCCTGGCATTCCAGTGACTCGGATGTGCGGTTGTTTGGTTCGCGACCTGTCGCCTTTGATATTGACCATCATCTGCTCGAATGGCTCGAGATCGAACACTTGCTGGAAGGAGTCTGCCCCCTTGGACGTCAATATGGACTTGGCATGGCTGGTGGTGATGATGGGCAGGTCTCGCCGAAGAGATGCCTCGACTTTCTCATCAAAATGATCTCTGCAATGGTCAGTCTGATGTACTTATCAGTATCACTGGAGGCAGTATAGTATACCCGTGATAATGAGATAAGAGAACCAAGTCGATCCGAGGCAGTTCGTGCAAGTCAACCGCGGGGTTTCTTAGACGCGTAGACGTCACCCCAGGACCAAGATGGACATGATCTCCCGCATGAAGGAAATTTGGCTATCTTGTCAGTCTGTGCCAGCGTACTAACAGAGGATGGACCAACATCGGTCATCAACCTCATTCCCTCCCATTCACTATCCAGATTAGCATCAGATTGATACGAGGCAAGAAGCTACTGACAAGATCGTTGTAGCATTTCCAACAAAGTAAACCGATGCATTTTCTTCTCCGGCTCGGGCAGGATTGGTTTTGATGTGTTTCGCCTCGGGAAGACTTGCTGGAAGAGAAGTAGCAGGCGAGTCCCGAATTGGGGGAATGTTCTGACCGGGATCGATGGATAGACGCTTCATATCGGGTTATTGAGCCGCCCTATTCCAGTTTGATTAGGATTATAATTGATGAAGAAGCTGAATTGCAGCTGAGGATTATTATCGACCGTCATCTCAAGGCAGTCTCGTATACATGACGTCACCCAACAGCAGCATCACCATTCTCTTTGAGGATGTACAGCTGCTCTCTTCCACGAATATCCAAGGATACAAAGAGAGGCCCTTGGCAGAGACATCCATGGTAGTATTGGCAGGTTACCTCAGTAGAAGCTTATCCCTGAACAGTACTGAGCCCTATATTCAATGCCATCTGCCATACTACAAATTGACCAATAGCCGCTCATAGTAGCGTCTAATCCTCTTCTCGAATTCCCTTCTTTCCACTCTTCATCTCTCTCTTTATGGACCTCAGTCAACACCTCTAGCCCGTTATAATAGCCCTACGGATCCATCCCATCCTAGCTCTGCCAGCCCTCTACTAGTATAACATCACTCACCCCACTCCCGTCAAGCGTCTGCGCAGCGCGCAGCAAAACAATCGAAAGCAATTGCACTGTAGTCCGGCATACCTATTTCTATTTTTCGATTGTTATAAGCATCTCTCACCAGCTAGCAGGCATCAGCACGACGCAACAAACCTTACAAAACCCCTTCCTTACACAAACCCCCGGAACAACCGTATCAAGCACCCAAATAGCAACCCTCGGGACAGGAAACACCGCATACAGGAGCATCAAGATGAGAGTCTTCCTGCATCGGAGCCGGAACGGGCGGCGCGTAGCGATATAGAATAGACGGATGACGGCTAGCGAGATCAGGCCCTGGAGCGCGAGGACGTATAGTGTCGACACGCGAAGATCGAGAGATGGAGGGATGGAAATGAAGAGCGGGA